TACATTAATTCTTAAAAAAAAAAACAATAAAAAAGAAAAGTAATTGATGAAATGTTTTTACTTCCGACACCTATTCTGAGCTGTTCCTCCAGAGGTAGCCGTGATAATGTTTACTTGTTTGTGTCTTTCTGAAGTTTTTTTGAGACAGGGTCTAACTCTGAACTCTAGGCTAGCCTGGAACTTGTGGCAAGCCTCCTACCTCTGTCTCCCAAGAGTTAGAATTACAGCATAAGCCACTATGCCCAAATTTTCTTCACGTTTCTTGTTTTAGATTTTAATTAAGTAATTAATTTTTTAAAAATGTTTTTGATGTTTTTTTTGAGACAGGGTCTTCCTGTATCCCCAGCTGGCCTATATAGACCAGGCGGGCCTTGAACTCACAGAGATCTTCCTGCCTCTGCCTCCCAAGTGCTGGGATCAAAGGCGTGTGCCACCATGCCTGGCTAGATTTTATCTTTAACTATGTGTCTGTGTATCTGTGTGTGGGTACGTGCACATGAGTGCAGGTGCCCTTGGAGGCCAGAGGTGTTGGTTTCCCCTGGAGCTGGAGTCACAGGTGAGCGACCCACCATGGGCTTGGGTTCTTGGTAGGAGCAATATATGCTTTTAGCCACGGAGCCATCTCTCCAGTCCTGTTGTGGTCTTGACTGACCCAGAACTCAGTAACCCAGGCTTGCCTCACAACTGTGTAAACTTCCTACTGCTTTTTTGGGTGCTGAGACAGTAGGTGTGCACCCCACCGGACTCGCCATTCAGCTGTAATAGTTACTTGGGTGTTTGAGCATTTGACCCAACTTTTGCTGATCTTTTGTTTGTGGAGTTTTTTTTTTTTTTTTTTTTTTTTTTTTAAACGTGTACGGGTGTATTGCTTGCATGCAGGTAGGTGCACCCATGCAGTGCAATGCCTGCAGAGGTCAGAAGAGGGTGTTGGATCCTCTGGAACTGGAATTGTGGATGGTTGTTAGCCACCATGTGGTGCTGGGATTTGAACCCAGGTCCTCTGCAAGAGCAGTCAGTGCTCTCTACTGCCAAGCCATCTCCTCAGTGTGAGGAACAGGAAGTCTTAGCAGCATTTTGCATAGTGTGTATAAAATATGAAGTCTTCAAAGAAACTGTTTTCTAGAACTTAACTTGTCTTTGTTTTCTTTCTCTCTTGATCTGTTTTCTTTCTCTGCATTTCAAACAGCCTGTGAGAGGTCAGTCCTCTGGCATATAGTCCACATTCATGGGAACTCAGAGACCACTGTCTGTGACCTAATGAGCTACGCTTAGATGTGTAACTGGGTCTGCACGTCAGAACATTATTATAAGCAGGCCAGTTTCTGCGTAGCTATTGTCTATCCTCTCATAAGCAGTTTTTATTCTGCGACCTCTGAAATTTTTCTCCTTTTGACATGAGGACTGTACATAATAATAATAATAATAATAATAATAATAATATTGTGAGTACTGGTGTAGTGGGTTGAGGACTGTAAATATTGGCTTCCCTCTTCCTCCCAAATATGCCAACATTCTGAAAAAAGGGCCTCAGTAGATGTAAAATTAAGGACCTTGAGATGATTTATCTCCTTAGGCCCAGTTTCCACTGATAAGTATCTTAGGAGTTCAGAGGGAGGCTGGGTTTGGTGACTCCTGTAACCCCAGCACTCAGGAGGATGACCATGGCTTCAAGGCCAGCCTGGGTTACATAGTAAATTGGCAGGTCAGCCTGGGCTACAGTGCAAAACCCTGTCTTAAATTCCCCCTCCCCGAAGAATTTATAATTCTCCCCTTCTGAAAAAAAAAAAGAGGAAGCAGAAAAAGGGGTAAGGAGGAAGAGGAGGAGGAAGAGGAGGAAGAGGAGGAGGAAGAGGAAGAGGAGGAGGAGGAGGAAGAGGAGGAGGAGGAAGAGGAAGAG